GCTCCGCCGCAAGGAGCAGCCAAGCAGCAATCCCGAGCCCGCCGCCTTCGGGTCGGCGCTCCGGGGGCTGAGCCAGCCCTCGCGCAGCACCGGCGAAGCTCCCGTGAAGCTGCTACTGCTGCATTTCAGACTTTTTTTTCCAGGTTGAAGACTTTTTTCATTTCTCCCTCCCAGCCCCTGACGAGACCTGATTCAAAGTGGAGTTTCTAGCTGCCACGCGCAGCCTCCAAGTCTGCTGTTTGGCAGCTGAGTCGACTATAGGTGTCACTTTGACCGTTCAGACTAAGCAATCCATGCAGACCTACAGGCACGAACGAAGAGAGGACATACCTTCCTGTGGAGCATTCGTGTCCCACACGGACCACATCTGCACAAAGAAAAAGGGAGTCCAGCACACTATGAAAGCTAACACTATGATGAAGGTCATTTTGACTGTCCGGATCTTGGCTTTAGAGATGAGCCTGGTGCTGCTGACCCTGGCAAACGCTGTCCCACCGTGGGAAGTGGAGCTCAGGCTCACGTTCGGCCCGTGAGCTGTCTTGAGCTTCACGTTCTGCCAGATTTTGAAACTGATCAATCCATAGCAGATGCTCAGCATCAGCACGGGGATGATGTAGACCATGAGGGTTATCCAGGTGACATAAGCTTTGGGTCCCCAGGGCTGGATAAAATCTGCCCAGCAGTCATAGACCCCATTTCCCACATCCCTCAGGGAAAATATGTGGATCTGAGGGATGCTGACCAGCAGGCACAGCAGCCAGGTGAGGAGGACAGAGACCCGATCAGCTCTCCTGTGCAGAGACCTCAGCGGCTGACAGATGGCCAAACACCGGTCCAGTGACATCAGCAAGAGCATGTAGGTGGAAGCAAACATCCCCACTACCTGCAAGTACTTGATCAACCGGCAGAGGAAATCTGGCCCATAAAACCTGAAGGTGATGTCCCAGATAAGCTGGGGCAGCACCTGGAAGATGGCCACCACCAGGTCAGCGATGCTTAAGTGCTTCATGAAGAAGTACATGCGGGAGTGTTTCTGCCGGGTGGTGTGGATGGCCAGCAGCACGCACAGATTGCCGGTCAGGGCCAGGAACAGGATGAGGCAGAGGACAGTCACCTCCACTTTGGCCATGTCCTCATTCCTCTTCAAGGGGTCAGTGGTGCTGTTCCTCCCAGACGTCTGGTTCTCCAGGCTGAGGCTGCTGTTCCCCAGCGAGCTGTTGATTGTCCATAAGCTGTTCCCCGCAAGGTACAGCTTATCCATGGCCAGCTCCTTCCCATACAGAGCTTTGTAGCAGAGAGGGGTCGGGTGAAAGGTCCTCTAGGAACGTGTCCCCACGTGAAGCAGCTTCAGCCCCTTTACAGCTTCCCTCTCCTGGCTGTCATCTCTTCCACGGCGTGCCGTTGCCCGGCGGGGAGCTCGTCCTTTCCTCCCTCTGGATGAGCCCGAGACCTCCTGGGCAGAAATGCTCTCGGCCAGCAACTCCACCCTGTCCCCTCCCAGGGCACTTGACGTCTCCTCGCGTTCCTGCCCCCAAACAAAAACAAAACACGGAAGGAGCACTAGGGAAAAAGGAGCACTAGGGAAAAGCAGCACGGCTGCCCCGTCTCGGTGGCAGCCCTCCCCAGCTCAGCGCGGGGCCTTCCCAGAGCAGGGCTTTATTTCCCACCAAAATCCCCACTTCAGCAGCTTCTCCCTCGTTCCCTTAATTTCTTTGCAGCCCAGCTAGCTCTGAAGAGGGGACACGGCTCGCCCGCGCGCCGGTGAGCCTTTCCTCTCCCCGCGCTCCCGCTGGCGACGGGGCGTTAAGCGTCCAGTGAAACGGCGACGCGCCGGGTCCTGGACACGTCCCAAACGGTGCACAGCAAACCGCAAAGGTCCCTCTCTTACCTGCGCGGATCCCGGCTCGCCTCGTCCGGAGGC